ACTGAGACAACCGATACACTAATATTCTAGCAGTGTTCATTGTTAAAATGAGGCGCAAGTTTGCCAGTTTAAAAGCTTAGAGTATAACTCACTTATTATTGTTCCCTTGGCTTCCTACTGGAACATAGGGCTTCAACTGCACGTCTCCACTTGCTTATGTCTTCTGCTGTACTTTTCACCTGCATCCATGTTAGTCCATATTGTTTCAACTCTTCTTCACATGATCTCCTCCATGTCACCCTTGCACTGATGTCCCACTCGCCGCTTTCCTTTCGGTTTCCACTCGAGCTATGGCCTGACGCAAGATGTCACCCAAGGAGTGGCCTCCTCAGCCAGTGAGTGTGCAATCCATCTACACTTTCTCCTGCATATTTGTTGAGCGATTGATTCTCGTTTGTTTTGTTTGTTCCCATAGTTTCTTGTTGGTTCTTGTTCTTTCCGGCCATCTGATCTTCAGTATAGAGCCAGCCAGCGAAGACAGTTACTTGTTGATAAAGGTGTGCAACAGGCTGTTGGAAATATTCTTTGTGACCCACCAAGTTTCTGATCCATCCGTATAGAAGAACTGACTGACTTGACGTTTTTATTGAAAATCCGAATTTTGTTGTTGATGCTGGGTTGAGTGACGAAGATTTGCAGATTGGTTTGAGGTTGATGAATGTGTTTCTCGCCTTCCCGATTCTCGATTTGACATCCTCGTCCGTTCCACCTGATTGTAGTTGAGACAATGCTCCCTAGATAAGTGAGTGAATGAAGTAACCTCTTTCAAATCCCTCCCGTTGATAGTGATTGGCTCTGGATATCGCTGATGCTGTTGTTGTATAACTTACCTAACTGCAGTGGACTAAAGAGATAACCATCAGATTTCTCAGTTGTTCAAAGGCATCACAATTTTCAAGTGCTTGATTTGCACGGATTTGAAGTTATTCTGCTCGCTACCCATTAGTTCTCGTGAGAAGTCATGGGGTCCGGTGGGTTCCACCAAGTGTTGAGTGTAAAGACAGTTAGTCACCGATGACATTAGCTAACAGTGACGTTGTATATCGTGAATTGTCAGACGTCAGAATTTATAGGCCTATTATTATTGATTTCGTCCCAGTTGGTGAATAGTCAACTGACTCCCAGGTGAGTTCATGGTGGTTGCCTAACCCTGAAGAGTCACAAACTAGGACGAAATCGCTATCCATTACCTCATGCTAGTTTTTGTAAATCTTACCTGATGCAGATTATATAAAATGATTATTGTTCAAAATAACTGTGTTTATCACGCATAATGAAATAAGATAACCTGTATCCTTATGCCTCACAAAAAAAGAAAAAGCCATGTAACTAATGTTAATATTTCTGACGTTTGCTCTTATTCATTTACAGTATAGATTATCAACACTGTCTTTCAGAAATCTAATAAATGAAACTCTAATCATGGTATAATGATAATTTACTACTCTCCAGTATTAAATAGTAGTAATAATTTAGCTTAGTTAGTGAAAGTCAGTAATTCTCAAAGTGTATATATATAGCCCAGATTCAGTACATTTTCTTTATTATTATTATTATTTTTTTTGAAGAAGGAGTATATTGGATTACATGAATTCACTACTACTATTATTAAGCTTGTCACTTAAATATCTGCTCTTGTAAAGTGATGCTTCACTTGTCATGTGAATCAGTAGTTTATACCTCAAGTTTATTTTTCATTTTTCTATATATATTTTTTTGATGGTATGACGTTTGTTTGTTTGCATGATAAGTAGTTACCTGATAAGTTGATCTCAATTTCAGACTTATATATATAACTATATGTTTAGTGTAGAATAATACTTGAAAGTAGAGAATATTGTGTTATACATCAGTTAGAGAGTCTAGTGAAAACTACCAAGTAGACACTGGACAGCGCTGTTTCATCCTATTTTAGAACTATCCAGAAGTGCCCCCACCCATGAATGACCATACCAGGGATCGAACCCGGGGGCCCTTCAGGTTACAAGATCAAGCTCATTGACAGTTCAACCAATTGGGATGGAATTCTGTCTTTATCAAGTCGTCATGTGGTGTTACCCACAACCAATGCCTACGATGAACATCCACTTCACACTTTGACATTTCGAGTCCTGATGACTACTAATGTTGGTTCGTAACGAAATCTAACAGTAGAAATCAAACGCAACCCAAACTAGGACGAAACAGCTGTCCAGTACTCCCAGGTTTTCCAATGGTTCTCTAACTAATGTCAGCTCATGATGAAAATCCTGTAACCAATCAAATCCCTACAAACCAACACTTGAATATCAATAAGATGCTCACTAGTGACTTGCCCTATTCAGGTAGGTAGTTGCCTGGGGTTCTAGTGAGAGGTCGTGACCAGTAGGGTGCAGCAGGTCGGGTGTGAGGATAAATACTCGCCGAAGACATTGGCTAGGGGTCGCGCTATATCGCGAATTGGCAGAAGTTGAAATTCATGCGCTAGCTATTGAATCGGGTCCCAGGGGCCCAATGGTCTACGAGGTAGCTCGCCTTGTAACCAGAAGGTCCTGGGTTCGAACCCCACTGGGGGCGTACTGATGAAGAGTCCCACACCAGTGGGACGAAACAGCCGTCCAGTACTCCCAGCTGGTTTTCCAATGGTTCTCTAACTAATGTCAGCTCATGATGAAAATCCTGTAACCAAACACAAGTTGATTGATTACTACTGCATGGATATCCTGAAGCTGTACTGAAAAGTCGTGAGCAGTTGGATTCATCATGTCAGGGTGAAGTGAATACTAATCGAAGGCATTACTTGAGGGTAACGCTATATCACGAATTGAAAACGTCAGAATTCATGGGTTATGGAACTACGGCCAAAGTGACTGAATGGTCAACGAGGCTTGATCTTGTAATTTGACGGTCCAGGGTTCGACCCTTGGTGGGATCGTGAGTAGGCAGTGGCTAAATAGTTCCAAAACAGGCGGAAATATCTGCCCACTGCTCTATCTATGGTTTTCAGTGATCTGTCTAATTGATGTTGGTTCGTGATGGAAATTAACAATCTGGAAATTACTCCTAAATCCTCACAAATCTCATAATCTGAAAATATGCCGTCTTACCTTCTACATCAAGAAGTTAAAACATTCTGATATAACCCAACCCTTACTCCTACAGTTCGTTAACTCTCGCATTCTGACTATTATTCTCTATTGTTCCCCCCCCCTTAGTTTTTCTCGGGCTACTGCAGAAGGACTATTCCTTATTACGCAGGATGTTAAAGGTTGTCAACAGGGTAAACAACGTGCCACTTAACCAGCTTGTTAATATTCTGGTCGACAGGCACATGGACTCATGTGAAAAATGGGCCAAATCCATTGTATCTAACTCACACCACTCTCTTCATTCACAACTCTCCCCTTGCATCTCATCAGGCAAAACCAGAAGCCTATATAGAAAACTATATGCTCGCACCAGCAAGTACAAAAACTCAACCATACCCTACTTAGCTCGTGTTCTGTGTGATAAAGAAAGCATTAGGCGTGATACCTATAATTCATTAAATAGTCAGTAGAACAACTGGACCTCGTCTTTTCAACTCATTTCATTTATAGGTACAACATTTTCTTTCTTTCTTTTCCTTTTCTCTCTCTCTTTTCCGTTATGTGCTGCTTTGTTTCTTTCTTCCGCTTACGCCAGTAAATATGACAGCACCTACTTTTCTAACATCTTCAAACACTGTTCAACTTTGGCTTTGCTAAGACATGCCAATATGTTTTTGTCATAATGATGGACTGAGATTTCCTTAATCTATGTAGAATTCCATTTATTGATAATGTACTAATTAACTGGATGCAATACTGTAGTAAAAATGCTGAGAATTCCATTCTGTATCACAAGTACTGTCTTGGAATAAAGCAAATTATTATTACTATTAAAAAATTAGTATATATCTTTTTCATTTAGTCATCTATCATACGGTCAAGACTTGGTTTTAAGGCATTAAGTCTTCTGACTACCCAAGTTATTAGAATGATGTCATTTATGAATGCTTAACGTGTTAGTTGTTTGCCTTCTTTTTGTTGATCTGTGTAGAAAGAACTTTAGCTAATTAGTCTAGGCACTCGACTTCAAACCAGTGGGTTACGGGTTTGAACTTCACTCACTGCTCTCCACATACAATAGCTGTGACTTACTGCCAACTGGATACTGTTTTAAAGTATGTCACTGTTAGCTTTCAGTACTTAACTGAACTTTAAGCCATTGCGTACGATTTTAACCCATGTCACCAAGAGTCTCTAATCGTTGATTATTCATTCCTGACCACTCTAGCAGGTTTGAACATATACCCCAGTGACTAAGTTTTCAACGCAGAACTTCACACAAGAGTACGTTGGTTCAAGTTGTTACTCTTCATAAAGCACATACAAAGGTAGGGGGAGGAAATCCCTGACTGATAGTTGCTACTATGACGTGGTGTTGGTTGGCCTCACCTGCTACAATGATCCAGTAAGCTTCACTGTCTGAAAAAATGTTCCTGCAAGTCATACCATGCCAGAAATGTCATTTGATCGCCGTCAGAGTAAAAGTAGCTGCCATAATAATGTAAATCGTTCACTCTACGTTTAAGATCAAACGACGAAATTGTACTGTTGGTAAATAGGGGTATAAAATCAATGAGGTGTCCCTCTTAGAAGGACTGCAAGTCAACAGGCCGTGTGTGATCACTCTCAAGCGACTCTCCCCTAGACTTGAGGATTTCACAGCACTAAGGCTGCTTTTGTTTCAGATAATTTAAAGAGGAGTCAACTTCCATGGGTCTGTAGACAGCTGGAAAGTAATCACCGCCCACGCACTTCCATGTCTTAGGCGCTTCATTGAAACTAACGTCAACAGAGGTGATTTAGTTATGCCAGACCTGTTTTATTTTGAGGAAAATAATACTTATTATTCTTGTTGATTTCAATAACTAGTGTTCATCAAATGTTTTGCTCTTATTTTTGACTTGTTCTTTTGTTTTTTTTGTTTTTGTCAAGGTTAAAGAGATTGTCTACTTCAATGCTGTTTTAGCGCCAAAAGACTCTCGTGCAAAATGGCGAGCTACATGTGTATGGAAAGAAACTGATCAGATTATTAATCAATTATCGAAAATCAATCATTCTGACAGTGGTATAGTACAACCACCAGGATCATCCTCAGAACAACAACAACACAATCGTCAACTACAATCAACTGATGATCCTGACTCAGGATTAGATAATTCCGATGAACTTACAGATCATAAGAAAATGTTGATGAACAGTTCTACAAAAAGAGATAGTTCAATAAAAGCTTTATTTGATGAAGATGATTTATCCTCTGAATACGAGTTTATTATTAATCAATTTGCTAATGTTCGTATGGTTGATGTCTGGGAGATTGAACAGTTTACGAGTCAAGGGAAACATACCAATAGTCAAATCAGCAGTAACAGTGTTGTAACCAATGACAGCATCACTAATCATCATAATGATCGGCATCATCAACAAGCACCACCACCACCCCCACCACAACAACATACTAGAACTGGTCATCCTATGGCTTCACCACATAATCCAAGTGATCTAGATCGAAGTTCATCAGTGAGTAGTGAATCCTTGTCAGATTTGAATACGCTATCAGAAATACCGAGTATTATGTCAGGTATACAACCGGAACCACCAATGGTGACAAGACCTTTAAGCTGTGCTGAAAGTACTCTAAGTAATAATGATGATACTAATTGTGACTCCAGCTCTAAAATACTTATGATGCATAAACCAGGTTGTCCATGTAAATGTCTATTATCCACAACAGAATATTCATTGATGTCACAAGGCAAAGCAAAGAAAAATAGTGTAACTACACAAACCCTATTTACAGGTGATATTAAAGGGAAGTTGGTTTATCATGAAACTCAAGAGACTGGTAATCACCATTCTTGAGTAGTTGATTATTATTATTATAATTATTATTAATTCATCTATTTTTTATTAATCCCTCTCTTCGAAAACAACTCTATTTTCCTATAGTATACACACCTATATATATATATGTGCTTTGTGTGTCTCCTTGTTCGAGACCTTTTCCACTTTTATTTCATCCAGTAAAATAAGTAAAAAATCGTTCTTGTATGTGTACTCAGGTATAGTTCAATTCTCCCATCTTATCTTTAAAGACGAGTTGTTGTTGACCGAGAAAGTCTTCTTATGTCATTTCTATTTGTATTGACATGACACATCCGTTATTCTTTTTTTTTAACGCGTATGACAAACGCAACTGTTGAGTACAACTCTAGTGTGTGTGCATGTGTGTTTGTGTGCATGTTTCATCTTCACTGTCTCATTACTGACACTACAATCAACCAGCCATGTTATCTTCAAACTTTCATATTTTTAATTCATCACTATCTGTTCTATGAGATAAAAATAAGAGTATACAAAATGACATTTTTATTCATGTAATGCATAGATATTCTAACATATTACTTACATCATAAATAGTTGCTCTCCTCAACTGTATTCATCATACCTGAATTCTTCCTAACTATGCCTATTTATTCTTTTCCTTCAACGTCAACAAGATGCATTTGATCCGTTTTACACACACACACTCACACACGCCAATACTCATAAACACACTTATTTTGTTCTGGTTCTTCTGAGTATATATGAGTAACAAGTAACAAAGATAATTGCGCTCTAACCTATTGAAGTATGGGCGAATTTCAGTAGTATCATCCACTGTCCACCTTTCTCTCTCGCTCTCGCCCATACAATAGATTTCTAGTTCAAATTGGCTGGTACATGAAACGTCCTCTCCACATAACTAACATCAAATGAATAAATAATTCACATGTAGGGCCACTCGCTTAGTTCGTTTTACTTCCAGTGTATACCGGATTGGGGAACTTGATGGTTCCCCTGAATTGATTGTGATGCAAGGAGTTTACTATGCTTTCATTCCTATCAAATCTTCAAAGGAAAATATGAATTCAAATGTTTAGTTTTATTCTGTTTTTCCCTCTTCCCGCTATTCGTCGATGAATATTACTAGTGTAATAGAAACCCGTCATTCCTGAGGGCTGTGATCATACATATATAAACAAACAATATTTCCCGCTCTTCATATATACATATATATATTTTTACACTGACAAAAATTAAATAGAAACTCTTCTTACTTTCCTTTGTATTTTGCTATTGTTTTCTATTGTTCCCCAATTTGATCGTCCCCTGACCTTCACATTCACCTCCTCTTTTGCTATTTCGTTTTACTCTATGTAAAATGGCTTGTGTTATTAGTATATTCATTCAAGAATATAGAGTGACACTAAAAAACGATGCTATTAGTTTGAAATAATGTATAATGTACTAATTTGTAGTGATAATAATAATAATGATAATTAATAACATTACTATTATTCTAACTGTAATCGTAGTAATGAGAAGACAATTTCAATGTCATGATGAATATGTAAGTTTATAATATAAAGAATATATTCAAAAAAAATAATAAATATTGTTTTGCTTTTGTTTGTTTATTTGTTCTGTATTTTCTTTGGCGGTATTTTCAAAAAAATAGGTATTGGTGTGTGCATGTGTGTCACATTTCTCTTTATAATGCCGCTTATGATCTATTTCTCTCTTCTTTTCATAATTAAAAATTGATTATGACGGTAGTTAGAGTATTAACTGACTAGTTGACTGGGGATTTTTTGAATGATAATTGTTGTCGTGGTTCGGTAGTCAACTTGTCGGACAGTCCAACTTTACAATATGTCTAATCAGTGAACCTCTTTTACCGAACTGATAACTTTCTCCTGCATATCTTCAAGTCTAAGCGATGCTACTACACATAGATCATCCACAAAAATCCAGATTTTTTTAGCGTCTTTTTGTAGATTCATCGTATTTCCTGTCTTCTAACTCAACAGCAACAATCCAATAGCACATAAGAGGAATTGCATACAAACACTATTCAAGAGAGCCAGGACTCATTTCAGCACTCCCACTATAAGAAAAATTGAAGAAAAATATCTCATGGACGTCTTCCAAAAGAATGGATATCCACGGAATTTCATCAAAAGACATATACCCACAAACCAACCTATCAAACCAAAAGCCCCCAAGGAAAGCACAAAGAAAATCGCCTTACCATATATAAAGGATATCTCAGAAATCACTAGAAGGCTCTTCAAACCTTTAGGAATTGACGTCGCACACGAACCGACAAAATCACTTCGCTTAGCTGGCTCTATGTCAACCAAAAGACTCAACAACGAGAGAAAATAAAAGCAACATCATCTACAAAATATATTGCATCAACTGCGAAAAACACTACATTGGCCAAAGTGGACGTCCCCTTCGTCTTCGTATCTACGAACATAAGCTAGCTGTCAAAAGACATGATATCCAATCCCTCATATCACTACATACAGACAACCACGGACATCAATTCGGCTGGGACAATGTTCAAATATTAGACAGAGGAAACAACAAGAATGCTAGAGAATTTTTAGAGGCTTGGTATTCCAGTGAATCATCAATCAATAGACACATCGAGATAGAGAAAACTTACCAACCGATAAGAGGGAAATCTCACACACAGAGGGTCAAAGTTCAAGTCAAGGAAACAATCAATTCCAATACAAGTGGTCTAAAGGGTGTGAAAACACAAAAACAACCAGTCACGACGTTGAAACTGACCGGGGAGATGACTAATAAACCCGTGGAGAAATCTAAAAGCTCACTTCAACAAATTGAAGTATTCGCTTAAGATGTCGCCTAGTAGGGCGATGAAAGCTTCGCAAATTAACTATCCAGCTCAGAGAACACAACCACATCAAAATCATCCACCTGAGCTACAAATCTTCTCTATCATATCTTCTAACTCTCTACAGTCTGCTACATGATCCAGTCCACTACAATCTCGAAGATCATCGAGGAGAGTAGGTAATCTTCTCTTACTCTTATCTTTATTTCAAACGTCTTGTTGAGCTTTCTGGTACATGGTATCATCATCATATAGCTGTTGAATTAGGTTTATAAATGTTTGCGGGACTGTATTCAGTGGTGTTGTAGCAGTTGACAAATTACTCTTCATGGCTGACGATTTCGAAGGCCTTTTCAAAGTCAATGAACTTTAAATACAGAGATACCTACCATTTTCCTGAATCCAGTCTGTTCCAGGTAAAGTGTCCCACTTAGAAAATCTTTAAGTTTTTTTCAGGATGATACGGCTTAATATTTTACTTGAAGTAGACAGCAGCATGGTTTCATGCTATTTTTCTCAAAGGCTCAAGTCACCTTTCTTTGGCAGACTGACAAGGTAGTCTTTCTTCCAATAGGCAGGTACTTTCCGCACCTTTATTAGTAGTAATAGCCTGAGTATGTCTGCTAAGGTCATTGAATTCACTTTAAGTAGTTCTGGAGGGATTCTATGTAGTCTTATTGCTTTACCTGCCTCCAATAGCTTTTTGACGTTCGAGACTTCCTTCAGAAATTTTCTAACAGTAGGTTGAAATCTATTCGAAAATGAGTGTTAGTACAAGTTGCGATTTAAAGACGTCATTGCATGATTAAAACAAAATGAAATGGAGTAAATACGACGCATTTGGATGGACAGAAAATGTAGGTAGACCAGTGATTTAAGCAGGTCATCGAGGATGTAGATCTACTTCCTGAAGAGAGACTTTTCGACCTCGAATATGCAGGTGATATTGTCTTATTGTGCAATAGTATGCAGACCGCCCAAATCAGCTGATTAGTTGGCGATCAATATCTATAAGATTGATATGTGCTCTATGACGTCTAAGTGCAGGGTATTGTTGCGAAATTGGTAGGGGCCTGTACCTGCACTCATCCTTGAAGGTGAACCGCTTGAAGATTTTTACAATCTTGTGTATCTAGGTGGCTGTGTGAGTGCTGATGAAGGTGTGACAAACAAAATCTCTAACCGTGTAATGAAACCTATTTTGGTAGACACCTATTTGGGCCATCTCTGGCTCTGTCGCGAAGTCAACCTGACTGTCCAAGGTAGGGTATACAATGCTCCAGTGTGCTCAGTCTTGCTCTCTGTCTGTCATATTTGGCCTTCTTGAGGTCAGGATGTGCGGCGACTCTGCATACTCGATCACCGCTGCCTCTGTAGAAGTGCTTGCACCCGATGGCATCATCATGTGAGTAGTTCTAAAGTCGGGATGTGCATGCCCTGACATGCCAGAGGTAACTGAGTGTAGTCCTCTTGAAACATCAGATTTAGTGGCTTGGACATGTGCTACGAATATTATCCCACGGGTTTCCGTACCAGTCGCTGTCCGCTAGCTCTAAGACTGGATGGAAAAGCGGAGAGTTGGTTAGCCCACTCTATGGTGCCGTCGATGAAGCATAACTGTGTTACATTAGCATCAGACGATACATCACAACTCCCTGTTTGAGGTCCAAGAGATAGCTCGAATCGATGACTCAAAACGTTATCAGATTTAGCCAAGAATCGTATCAAATGCCCAGGATTTCCTTCTTTCATCCCTTTCTGAAAATAAAAAGTGAATTGATAAATGTTGATTGGTCTTGACAAACATCCTTACTTGCTTTCTTTCTGGATGGAATCCCTCATTTATTCTATACCTATTTTCTCTATACATTTTTGTTTTATTATTTTTGTGTAACGCATGTCTTGGTACTCACAGTATACCAAGTCTGTGTTTTAAAACAATAAATAATTAATTAATCACTCTAAGAATTTAGGAGAATTATTGATCGACTGAAAATGTAGCTGCCAGGCTAAACTTTAGGCATCGGAGAAGCGAGACTGCAGCTATGACTTTCGAACGTCCAGTGAGCAAGTTGTTGAAACCAGGTAAATCATGAATAAAATATGCCTGATGAAATGTTATCATATGAAATAGGATATATGGTAAATTTAAGGTAAGTTGTAGGAAAGATTTAGTTAAGCTTTATGCTAAGGACAGATTAGGGTCAGGTTATCGTAATTATTATTATTATTGTTTCCTTTAATTCCTAGAGGAACATAGGGCTTCAGCCGTGCATCTCCATTGCGTTCGCTTCTCTGCTACAGTCTTCACCTGGCTCCAAGTCTGCTCACACGTTTTCATCTCCTCTTCACATGACCTCCTCCAAGTCACCCACCCTAGCACTGACGACCAACTCGCCGATTCCCTTTCGGGTTCCACTCGAGTGATGACTTGTCTAGTGATGTCACTTGATGGATTGTTTCCTCAGAGTATGGCCAGCCAATCCATCTCCATTTCTTCCTGCCTATTTGTTTCACAATCGGTTCCTGGTTGGTTCGCTCCCAGAGATCGTAATAAAGGGAGATATTAGGATTGTTTCGAGCTGGAATTGGACCAGTTTAGGGATAGTTCCGAGTTAGGATTAGGTTAAAGGTAAATTAAGGTTCGGGTTAGGATTAGATGAATGCATGTAAAGAATGTTGTTCAATTACTCTATTAATACTGCAGTGCAAAACTAAGAGGCACTTTTGTTACACATCAAAGAAGAGTATCCTGTGTAACAGTTTCACACCATTTTACTCGCTATTTTCATAAATTTTTTTATTCCTTTGAGTTCCGAGTGGAATATAGGGCTTCAAGCATGATCTTTGAAGTTTCAGTAGCA